TATCCTTTGGATATTGGATGGTGTTCTTTCTCACTTGAGCAAGGGAGGACAAGGATCAGAGGGAGTTGATTTGTTGGCTGGCAGCAGGGCAGGAAATTATTCACAGTGATGGATAGATGAGAATCTGGTGGGAGACAGGGAGCAGGTCACTCTAGTGGAAGGCATGAACTTCTATGAAGTTGACAGAGGCAGGTCTTGGCTTCTTATATGTAATGATATGTGGGAAAGACCTTGGGAGACAGGGCAAAGAGATGCTGCCTAGGAAACAGTCAGATAAGAGAGAGCATAGCCCGTAGATGGATAGTGGGTGGGGCAAGAGGCTCAAAAGGGACCCTCCCTAGCTTCTCAAGCTGTAAAGGAGACAGTGGGAGAATTGTACTTTTAGACTTGCAAGATTCTGTTAATGTAGTTTTACAATAAAGTAGAATTAGTTTATCTGGTCATATTTCCTGTCGGGCATACCTAGTAAGGCTGACATTATACCAATTTTGCATTGCAGCCCCTCTGGGCTGTCTCCCAATGCCTAGTCATTAGTACCTGTATTGTCTTGGTCTCCAGCTGCTGCCTGTAATAAGGCCTCCCTCATCCAAGATCTTATTCTCAATGGAAGAGCTGCTGCATAACTTGACTGAAACTGGAATGAGAAACTGAAGCTGGCCTTGGACTGGATGGTGCCTGGGTGGCCTCTCTCCCTTGCATGAATCCTAGGGAACTACTGGTTTTCAAAGGAATTCCTGTAGATGAAATGGCAGAAGAAATGAGCACCTCTGGAGAAGGATGGAGTAAATAGAATTGAAGAGATAAGAGTCTTTGATAAGAATTACCTCTTGGTCATAAGAATGGCAAAACGTAGTTATTTTTCCACTCCTACTGCATCCACAGATTGCCAGATGGTAGCCCTGTTTAAGGTGACACAGTCCCTTCTGGGTAGAGAGAAGCCATAGAAAAATCAGTAGGGCTGCAGTAGGGCTGCAGTGAGGACTATTCAAGGCATAGGTTGAATAAAGTTGTTCAGATTCACTCCAAGCTGGAGTCCGACCATGCAAGTTCTATGAAGTTGACAGAGGCAGGTCTGGCTTGGTTATCTGGGAGCAGATTGAATCTCTTGGTTCCAAGGAAGTGGACAGGGTCTTCAGGGCTGTGAGCACAGCCACCTGTGTATTAGAACCATGTCTCTCCTAGTTACTCATGGCCTCCTAGAAGACATATGGTTGGGTCCAAGCAGTGGTGAATTCATCCCTTATGGATGGGGTGATTCCACCTGTGCCTAAGGAGACACTGGTCTGCCCTTTACTCAAGAAGCCACTGCTGGAACCAACAGTACTGGATAATTGTCATCCAGTCTCCATGGCATTGTTCATACTTGTGGATGATCTCCGGCAAAGCTTGGGATAGGGTGATGCATTAATCCTGACTCTCCATGATCTCTCAGCATCAATCATGCTATCCTTCTGGACTGGCAAAAGGGGTTAAGAGTGGGAGGCATGGTGTTGCAGTGGTTCTTCCTCCTTCCTCTGGGATTGGTTTCAGTCATTATTGGTTCAGGGGAGAGGTCTAGCCCTAAGCCTTTGCTTTGTGGAGACCCACAGGGCTGCACTCTCTCCCATCTCCTATTTAACATCTACATGAAGCTACTGCATAAGGTCATTGGACACCATGTAATCAGGTTTCATCAGTATGCTGATGATATTCAGCTGTATATCTTGACTCCTGACTGACCAAGTAATGCCATCAAGGTACTTTCTCAGTGTCTGGAAGCTATGGGTGCCTGGATGGAAAGAAACAAGCTTAGTCTCAGCCCTAGAGGCTGTGATTTGTAAGTCCTCCCAGATTTAGCGAATTTCCATCATTGGTTATGGATGGGGTTGCACTACCACAAATGGGAGTAGCGATCAACTCGGGAGTCCTCCTAGACTTGCAGCCATGGCTAGGAGGGCTTTCTTTTGCAGTGATGCATCTTATATGCCAGCTGCACTCATATTGAATTGAGAGGCCCTGTTCACTTCACTCATGCCTTGGTTACCTCCCGTCTGGATTATTGCAACATTTCTATGTGGCACGGCCCTTAAAAACCAAATGCGGTAGTGTGAGTAGTTATGGATGCACCTTGGTATGTTCACACAACACTATACTATGTGAGCTTCACTGGCTCCCAGTAGGTTTCTGGATGTAATTCAAGATGCTGGTTGTCACTTTCAAAGCCCTTTGTGGCACTGGGATGGGTTATTTTTCAGACCACCTGTTTCCAATTCTTTCTGTCCATCCCACAAGATCTGGGGATGCTCTGGATCCTTTCAATTAAATAGTGCCATCTGATAGGATCTAGGAAGCATGCCTTCTGTGTTGCTA